TGTGTATGTGTGTGTGTATGTGTGTGTGTGTGTGCGTCTGTGTGTGTGTGTGTGTGTGTGTGTGTGTGTGTGTGTGTGTGTGTGTGTGTGTGTGTGTGTGTGTGTGTGTGTATTTCTCCTATTTAAAGATTTTGTGAAAGGAGTCAGATAACAATACAATTAGTACAATTTCTCTTTCATCTCAATTCCCAATTACTTACGAAGACATTTTGGCTGCCGTGATCTAGACACTAGAAATTTCAGTGCACGAGTTATTTCCCACTATAAAAAGAAAAAAGGGAGAACAGTAACGCCGCGATTATATACCACGATTTTCGCAAAACACCATAGACGCATTCGTTGATTTTTTTTTTTTTTTTTTTGCCAACATTATAGTCGTTATTATCTATACGTTAATTAGTCGTGGAAAACAAAACCAAAAAGAAAAGAAATCGAAACCCAAGTCACCCCCGGATCAAAGACGATTTTTTGCTCATAAGGCCGTTTTGAATAACCATACATTCGTTAACTGAGAATACTATTCTGCAAAGTATGTCTGCGTTGGTTTTCTGAGGTTTTTACCATTCGGATGTTTATTCTTTGTGCATATGTTGCGTGGTTTAATTTGTTATATAAAAATAGAGAGTGGGAGGGAGGGACTAATAAAAAAAATTAACCCAAAATGATAGTTTGATATGATAAGGATAAAGATAAGTCCGATATGCGAAGCTGAGCCTCGCACGGGGTATGCCCATGAGGGGAGCCCGACCTGTGTCGACTAATGCCAACTTGCTAGCGTGTGTCAGCTGTTGCCGACTCGGCTGAGCTTAATTCTTACCCGGCGTGGTGCCCAGCCTTAGTAGTAATCTGCCGGCGACAATTGCAACTTATCGCGTCGACCGCTCGGATGAGAAGCCGTCACGTTACACTGTACTACCCCGAAGGTTGATAATTTGATAACACATAAGTCTTTTTCAGATTAACATACAAGGCCTTTTCAATAGCGCGACTGAAGCCCCAACGCGTGCGAGTTCCTTCAGCACATACTTATCCGTTGGCTTTTGGGCGATGGACCGGGTATGACGTCATGGCCTACGCCCCGCCTCTCCAATCACTGCTGATCTTGCTCCATTCTGTTTTCGTGCCTTAGGACTAAGAACGTCGATAGTTGAGATATTTCTTCATGTATATAAATGTGTATGTAGTGTATTAGTGATGGAGAAGATAATGAGACAATCAACGATCACGGAAAAAAAGCTATCAAATATTTTTGGGTGTTTTTCCTTAACACAGATTAAATGCTTTTCCAATGAGTTTCAGGAACATATAATAATAATATTCAGATTTCGAAATACTCGAGATATTTGTCTGAATATATTTTTGAATATTAGTAACTAGCATAGTTTTAGTAACACTACCAATGAATGAAAATGTTCTGAGATTACTATTAAAAATAGGTTTCCAATATACCTTTATCCGTGTGAGTGTGTGAGACTGAAAATAGGTGTTATATTCCTATATGTTCCTCTTAAATTACATTATTTTCCTCCTACGATACTCAAGGTGACTTCTGTTAATTTATCAATAAAACTCCTATCATGAAAGTAGTCTTAAATCAACAATTATTAGAAAGGTCTTATTGAATATGATCACTCTGAACGAAAAGAATGACAAGCAAATAATGCATATAATATGCTTGAAAAACTGTTTCTTAGGTTGAATTTGTTGCATTTCAGTCCTATTTCATTTTTTAACCAACTCGTTTTATGCTATTCAACTGATATTTCATGAATTCATCAGTTTAGCCTTTAGAGAGTGAAGCAAATGAGAATAAATTAAAGGCGCTTTGTTGTATATCGACGTGAGAATGCTTGTCTTAGGCCATATCATGTTTAAAACTTTTATCTATCATTTACATAGTAAGTCTCTCCTCTAACTCACTCTCTCTCTCTCTCTCTCTCTCTCTCTCTCTCTCTCTCTCTCTCTCTCTCTCTCTCTCTCTCTCTCTCTCTCTCTCTCTCTCTCTCTTTCTCAGATACAAATAGATAGATAAAGAGAGGGGGGGGGGGGGGAAAGAGTCAGTAACAATAACAGCAATGATATTTAATATGACTAACCATAATGGTGATGATGATAATGATCCGATTGTGACAACGATAATGATAATAATAAAGACAAAAATAAGAAATAAAAATAATGAAGAAAATTTAGATAACAGGCTGACGTAATCATATGAATGAAAACAATAATGAAAATAAATGAGAAACGTACCTCTTGTCATTATGTTGTTGTTTTTGTGTGTGTGTTTTTCTTTTATATAAATAGTGTTTATTAGTATAGTATTTACAGATACCCCATACCACTTTTAGATATAAGAAACATGAGTAGCCAAGTAGTACGGTATCTTAGTTCCACTATATGCAAAATATGTTTTAGCCTTCCATCTCTTTACAAGCACTTTCGCTAATAACTTGCCGCTGTCATCTATAAATTTCAATGTAAAGGAAATTGAAGGAACAAAATTCTACATAGAAGCGAGTGTAGCAAT